GCGGCAGGTTTAAGTGCCTGGCTGACGGTTTCAACACCAGTTCCGACGCAGATGACTTGTTTCTGCGTCTGGTGGCCAGACGGGGCGCGACGGGCAGCGCGCCGCGGGAGGTTGCCATTCAGGTGGCAGGGCGACAGTTGGACGTGGCTGGGGGCCGCGCGACGCAGGTGACCTGGGAGCACGGCCCCACAACGGAGCCCATTGCCAGACCCGCGGTTGCTTGAAGTAGACGCGCGGACAAGGGGGAGACGTCCTCGGTACTTAACACCCTGACCACCAGCCGATCACGCGGTCTGACCAGTCTTTAGCGCCGGAATTTTGTGTGGAAGCCCCGACGCCCCGATGCGAGGAACATGTCCTCGCGTGGCACGAGGCGCTCAGCGAGCACAGCCACTGTCTCTTCGACGCCCTGAACGCTGAGTTTGCGCCCCAGCAGCAACATGACCTGCGGCTGGATGCACAGCGACAAAAGGGCGCTGGCGTCGGCTGCCTGGGCGCGGCGACGCACTGGGCGCGATCATGTCTGGGGCGGCAGCGGTCCGCGTCGGGTCGCGGGCGGGCGCGGGCGACGTGAGCGCGATGACAGGGCGACGCGACTAGAAGTAGCAGTTGCCCGCGAGATCGTCGAGGCAGCGCGGCACCGCGACGGGCGGCCTGGATGCGAGGCCACGGATGCCGCCGCCCACGCTGCTCGCGGCGAGCTTCGCACAGTGCGCGCGGGCAACCACCGAGAGGCTGACCATCGCCCCCAGGGGCGCATTCGCCAGCTAGTGGCCACGAAACCCTGGGCCGATGGGAAACCTCCCAGCCGTGCTGGAGGAGCGCTGGTCGCAGAGACACACGGGCTCATGGGGGCCTTGCGGACCGCGCTCCCAGGTAACGAGGAGTCGGGCGGCGAGGGTGCGGCGTCTGGTCTGCTGGACCTCGAATGCCATGCAGTCTGCGCGGGGAGGGAAGGCGCGGCTACAGTTGTAAACGATGCTGAGCCGTACTGCAGTAACAGTGGCTGCCATGGGCTTGCGACCCCAGAGGTTCAGACCCGGGGTCGGGATGCCAGAGGGCCGCAAGTTGAGTTCAGTCTTGCATTACCTTGGTGGTGTTGCCAAGCTTCAGGCAGCGGCAGAAAGTATGAGCGCCGGCGCAGGGCTTGATCCGTCGCCGCGCGCGCTCCGAGCCTATCTCGAATCCTGCGACGGCACAGATGCACCAATGCTTGATGTGACAGAAGTGCAGCGATGGACAATCCTTCGCCTCGCAGGGGGAGGCTGGTCAGCCGTCATGGCGGGAGCGTCATCGGACACCGTGCGCCTCGCCCTCCTTGACTCGACGGCGACAGTGCAGGCGGGGCTGCGGTCGTTCGTCGATGGCGCGCGATGCCCAGCATCGTCGAGGGGCCAATGCAGACTGACAGCTCACCCGATCCAGATGGCGGCTCGGAAACATCAGGCCCAGTTATGCTTTGCGCCTGTGAAGACAGCCACTCTTGCCAGAGGACTCGCAGACACCAGACCCTGTGGCTCAGTCAAATTTGCAGATGCCTTCTTCTGCCTGGGCGTAGCCCTCGATTCGAGAAGGCCTGGAAAGGGCGCACCTGCGCCCGTGCTTTGCAGCGGCGAGGCAACTAGGAAGACAGCACACTAACATCATGCAGGACCGCGGCTTCCGATTCGAGCTGCAGATGAAACTTCTCCAGGCGTTCGCCCAGGCAGTGGCCCTCTGGGGCCTGGAGCTTTGCATTCACCTCCCCGAGTTCGACAAGGAGGCCAACTGGGCTCAAAAAGATAGGGGCAGGCGGTTGCTCGGCCTTTCCAGGCATGTGGCTCGAGTCCGGATATTGGACGCCCATGGGTGGCAGGAGCGGTGGCCCAGGCGCTACTGCGAGCTGGCGTGCATGTTGCGGGCCAGAATCCAGATTGACCCCCGCCATGCACAGGCGCGGGCGGTCCTGGAGACAGCAGGGACAGTCTAGGGATCCTGGGCAGCGCCGGTGGTGGGTCTCCTGGAACTCCTCTGGCTCCGCCGACCTCGTGCGCCTCAGAGCCACAGCACATCCGGCTGGCGATCCATCCTGCTAACGCTCGGGAGCCGTGCAGGGCAGCACCGCCGCAGGTTCGCGCCAGGGCGGCCAGTCACGGAGAGCGGGGCGCGCCACGCCTCGCAGCAGCGGCTCGCTCCACGGAGGGGGTGCGGACAATGGGCGCAGCTGGCACTCCCAAGGGAGCTCTGGCTCGCGAGCGCACTGGAGCCGTGCCCCCGTGCCGCTGGTGTGTGGCGGGCAGCCGGAGACCGCAGGGCACCTTTTGCGCCACTGCCCCTGGGTTGCCCGCAGAGGCGCCTGGCAGCGTGGAGCGGAGCATCGGCGCGCCTCCGGTGGGGGCGGCAGCGCAGGCAGCGGCGGCGGCTGCGTGGCTACAGCGCCGCCGCGAGGGCGCCAGTCCGCGCGCCTGGGCTGGCCGGAGCCGCCTGCCGCGCATCAGGCATACCACAAGTAGTGCGACCAATTGAGTCACTTCACTTCAGACCCTGGCCTCCGTGTCCGCAGCCTGGGATCCCAGTCCAGGCCCCTGCCGTCGCCGGGGTGGGAAGTCGGGTATCCTTCAATGCCCTTTCCCGTCATTGTGGGACAGCCCTGTCAGGGCGTCTGGCGTCAAATGCTCATCCGCCCTGCCTCCCTCCGTTCTCATTCCTGGTCTGGCCCACCCCCCTTCCTGTGTTGGCGCCCCGTCGTCGTCGCCGTCGTGGCCGCAGGGGTCGTCGTTGTCGTTGTCGTCGTGGTCGTCGCTGGTACGGTCGTTGTTGTCGCCGTGGTCGTGCTGGTTGTTGTCCTTGTTGGTTGTTCTCGTCTCGCCGGCGTGGCTGCTGGCGTCGTCGCCGTCGTCGCCGCACGGAAGCGGGTGACCCCTGGCGATAAAGGGGTCACTGCTGCCGCGCAGGATCTGTGTGGGCCGACGTCCACCCTTCGGAGTGGCGCGGCAGCTGCCCGACGGGTGGCGTCTCCGGCGAGGGCCTCTCGCGGGCGCGAGCCCCCCCGGGGAGCCTCGGGCGCTGGGCGGCATGCCTGCCAGGGCTTGCGCTGCCCCGCGCCTTGAGACTCCGGCCACGGGGGGCCACGCGGGGCGTCCGCGAGCTATGAGGCTCACCAGGGCGCGATCGGCGGCAGGAGCAGGAGGAGGAGGAGCAGAGAGGCAGGAAGGAAGCAGGAGAAGCAGGAGGAGCAGGAGGCGGACGAAGACGACGACGACGAGAAAGTAGATGAGAAGGGCGAGGAGCAAGAACCACAGGAGGGAGAAGGAGAGGGAGAACACAGCACGGCGATCCAAAGAGTGACCTACTCAAATTGCTTTCTACCCCCGTGAGGGGCATAGTTGCTGTATGCGGCAGTTGCCCTTAATCTGGGGAGGGGGGCGTTGAGCGCCGTTGAGCGCATCGGGCTCAAAGTCGCAACCAACATGAGCGAGCAGGAGCCGAATTGCTGATAAGACATGCAGATGTGCCAGCAGGCAATAGATATTGCCTCATCCTGATGATCCTCATCCTTATTTTCCCTCCTCACCCGTCGCTATCCTTCTTGTCCTCCTCTCCATCCCAATCGTCCTCATACCCCACCCTTGATCTCGTTCTCCCCTCATCTTCCTTCGCAACTCCACTCAGTTTCCACCTCATCCTTTCTCCTCATTCCCTCCTTCCATTCCTGCCTCCTCCATCATCGTCCTCGTCCTCATTCTTGTCCTCCTCTGCCTCACCTATCCGTCCCCCTTCTCATCCATGCCCCCTCTCTTGTTCTCTTCCGGCCCCTCCTCTCCCTGCCCGCATTGTCTGGCGTTATTGAATCGCTTCGCTCATTCCGCCGGCCCGTGATATGGCATCGCTGGTTTTTGTCTGTGTGTTCGTTGCCCATGTTGCGCTCTTGGGGGCGGGTGTCGTTCGGACGCGTTGCGTGGGGAGTTTTGATGGTGAAGCAGTTCCCTGGGGGTCGTCTCTCGATGGGGCGAAATAGAGTCGTCGTCAAGATGCTTCTTTGGGGGGCCTCTTGGGGTCTGTTGAGAGGCCGTTCGGGGGCGCCTGGGAGACATGTTTGAAGCCTTCTGGGGCTTCTTTTGGGCCTCCTGGGAGTCTCCTGGGGCCTCTTGGCGACATCTTGGGGCCTCTTGGAGGCCTCTTGGGGCCTCTTTGGGACCTCCTGGGCGCCTTCTGGGACGGAGGGCTCCATTTTTGAGTTCTCGGTATCCCTCCTGAGTCCCTCTTGGGCCCGTCTTGGGGCCTCTTGGTCCGTCTTGGGCGGCACTTGGGCCGTCTTGAGGGCTCTCTTGGGTCGTTTCGGCGCCGTCTTGGGAGCTTCGTGGGCCGTCTTGGAGCGGTCTTGGGGGCCTCTTGGGCCGTCTTGGAGCGTCCGGAAGCCGAAAAAGCCAGAACACAAAAAACATCGAAAAAACCAATGAAAATCAACGATTTTGGCCTCTTGGGGCTCTCTTCGGAGGCCTCTTGGAAGGCTCTTGGGGCGTCTTGGAGGCCTCTTGGGCTGTCTTGGGGGCCTTTTGGGCCGTCTTGGGGTCATCTTCGGCGTCTTCGAGCGCTCTTTGGGCGTCTCGGGGGCCTCTTGGGCAGTCTTGGGGGCCTCTTGGGGCACTCTGAGCGCGCTCTGGGGAGCCTGAGAGGCCGCACCCAGAAGGAAAACCATCTCTGAGTAGACTTGGTCGGGCGGCGGTCGGGCGGCGACCGGGCGTTGGTCGGGGTACTTTTCGCCGGGGGACCCCCAGGGGCCGCCCCGCGCGCGCGAACTAGAAATACTGTTAATACTGTTAACCAGTTACCGGAGATCTTAGCACGCCCTGGCCCGTTGGGCCGGCGAATTCCTGGCATCGTCCGCGGAATTGTGTTTGCCTTTTACGCACGGTTTTCGATTTACTCAGTCGTCATTTCGATGTTCGTCCCTCGGCCAGGGCCGTCGGCCGCTGCTGCAAAGGGTTCTCCTCTCTTCGCGCCCTCCGCCCCCGCCCGAGGAGACAGGCCGCTGCTGGTGGGCCGCAGGCACCAGCCGGAGCTGCACGAGCGGGCCGTGACTAAGGCCAGGGCGGCGCGGAGTGCCAGCAGGGGGGAGGAGCAGGGAGGGGGTTTTGGATCCCTGCCTGCATGGCACCAGCCTCAGACGCACCTCTAACCATCGGTCGTTGAAAGCAGGTATTTCTGGATATCCAGATTCCGGTCTGCTTCAAGCGCCCTCCCACTTCAATGATCGAGTGGCGTCACCTTTCCCGTCCTCCTCAGGGGGCGGACGGCACCCATTAATTGTTCAACGTTTTCTTCCTTCATGATTATATATACTTCTTCCGACAGATGAGCATCCATGCAACAGGGGAATTGATTATCAGCGCCGATCCAAGAAATCTGCGCGGACCTCCGAAATGTTCGTGCAGTCTTCTTCAAAGTAAGGAGGAGAAGGAGGAGGAGAAGGAGGTGAATGAAGGAAGGCGGAAAAGTATCAGCAGCAGCGATCCTGTACCCTACCTTCCTTTCCTCCCCCCTCTCTCCATCTGTCCCATTACTTCCCCTTCCCCTCCCCTCGTTCCCCCTTTCCGTTCCCTTATTCTCCCTTTCACCTCCCGTCCATCCCTTCCTTTCTTTCCGTTCCCTTTTTTCCTCCTGACAATTACACATTATGAATGCGTCTCTCCTTTCTCCCCTGACCATGTCCGGAAGATGACCCACCCTCCCCACGTATTGTTCTTGTTGCACAGAAGTGGAGTGGACAGCAGCGATATGTCCTCTCGTTGGTTACCCTCCCCTTCTTTCCGGTGTTTCAGAGTCGTGATATTGTTGCAGTGTGGGCCTCATTTTCGGATCGGCGCTTTGCTTCCGTCGTTCAGAATAGCGCTCTCGCTCCGGTTCTGGATCCGAGTTCTTCCTGACTGTTGCCGCCACCATCCTTTCCCCTTCTCCGCTTTCCCCTGGTCCTCTTGCTCTTCCGCTCCTTACACTCCAGTTCCCGCTGTTGCTGTTCGTCCTCGTCCTCCTCATCCTCCTTCTCCTCCTTCCTCATCCACCAAGTGTTCCTCCTGGTCAGCGTCTCCGCCTTCCCCTGGTCATCCTGCTCCTTCCGCTCCTTCCACTCCAGTTCTTGTTGCTGTTGTTCGGTCTCGTCCTCCTCATCCTCATAGTTGTCTTTCCTCATCCTCTTCCTTCCTCCTCATCATCCTGCTCACCCGCCATCTTCAACTCCTCCTCCTTCTCCTCCTTCTCCTCCTCCTCCTCCTATGTTCTCAACTTCTTTTTCTGATTGTGCATAATACGATGGGATATGTTTAGAATCCCAGGTCGGCTGTGACCCTCGTCGGCGGAGAAAGAAATAGTCAGCGCAATGAGAATGGATGGGAGGGAAGGATCGGAGATCAGATATGGCGCGAGCGCACCTAGCTCGGTTACACCCCTCTCCTTCGACCCCCACTCGCGTTTCCCCACCCCAAACCACTGCCGCGTCCGAGCGTTCCCCAGGCCGTGACTCCGTGCTACACCGGCAACTGCGCCCGAAGTTTCCGAATGCCAGCTTGGCGAGAGCATATCATACATCCATCCTCTCTTCCGCGTCTCCTTCTCCGAGACGGGGATTTACCCGTAACCACCGCTTGGGGGATCGGTATTCGGGGACTTCGGCAGGCGGTGGATCTGTCGCCGCGCCGTTCGGCCTCTCGTCTTTGAGAGGGCGCCGCGGCCGCCAGGGCAGACGCCGCCTCGGACGCGGTGGGCTCGCCGTGGGGCCTGCCGCAGTGCCAGCTTCGTGTCCTCGGGCGCAGGGCGCAGAGGGTCGCCGCGGGTTTGCCGTGGCGTCGGCGTCGTCCACCTGGGCGCGTCGAGGACAAACGGCGCGGCGACGCGGGGAGAAATCCCCGCCTCTCGCCTGCTCTCCCCCGGCCGCTCCCCCCTCGTTCCCTCTCCACCCTCCCCCCCCCCCCCCCCGCTCGTTCGCCGGGTCGCCCCTCTCCTCTCCCGTGCCTCCGCCCTTCTCTCTCGCACCCCCCCAGCTCCCAGAGAGGAGCAAGAAGTCACGATCCTTGAGGCGTGGCGGGGTTGCCTGGAACTCCCACTGCTCCGCGCGCGGATTCCAGAAACAAAGGCCGCTAGGTGCCCGAGAATTTCTGGAACGCGACCTGAGACAATCGCGGAGGAGGAGGAGGAGGAGGAGCAGCAGCAGCAGCAGCAGAAGGAGGAGGAGGAGGAGGAGGCATCATTACCGTCCTAATCTCGTTCCATCCTCCCCATGCCCACTTCTGCCGCTCCCAACCACTCCTTCTCCACCCAGGCTTACAGCTGGCACGAGTGTCAATCACAACCCTGGGTGTCGAGGGGTGCCTTGTATTCCTTCGTGGTCAGCCTCTCCACCTTGGAACGTGTTTCTGGGTATCTCCAACGCGCCTCCCCGGCCTTTGGCGAGAGGGCTCGCGCTCTTGACACTGTTTTTTGTGATCACGTCTGGATTGTTACCCATCCCCCATCCCTGCGTCCCTGCACACGCATCCCCCAGTCTGCCCAAACCCCGTTGACAAACAACGAAGGAGGCTGTGGGAGGGGGGCCAGACATGGTCGGAGGAGAACGAGGGGAGAGGATGTGGGAGGGGGGGCAGGGGGAGAAGGATGACAGAGAAGGGTTGAGGTGCCGACATAACTTCCGCTCGAGAGTCACATTCCACAAGAGGGCGAGGACCGAAATGGAGTAGGAGGAAGCTTTTGAGATTCCGCCGGAGGAGTGCATCGAGTTCCTCAGCCGGGACCACTTCTGCGTCGCTTTCGAAGGCGGCGGTGCTGGACAACGAGGAAGAAGGGCTCGAATTGAAGGATGATGCGAAGCAGTGGTAGGAACAGGATGCGAGGACTTGCAGTGCCTGAGCTTAGACTTATGACGCATTGCCTATCGCACGTGTAATATTTGCCGTTCCATATCCATTATGACGCAAGGGCGCCCTCTGTGCTTGCCACTTGCGCCCGTGTGCTGGCAAACTGACAAATCATCCGTTACCACTCCAGGTTGCTGCCGATGTTGGCGAGTCAGAGGAGGGCGACAATCGGCGGCGAGCGAGGGGGGAAGTGAGATGGGGAAGGCCTTCTCAGAAGACGGCGGGTTTTGTGTTTTCGGGGAAGGCTTAGAACACTTCTCAGAAGGCCAAGGGACTTCCGAGCCTTCTGAGAAGGCCAGCCCCTTCCTATGTCCTCCCCGCGCTCGCCCCGCCAAGACAATGAGGGGCGAAAAGCAGGGCTGAGGATTTGAAGGAGGAGAGGGTGTTTTACGAGCGCGCGTGAATGTGCAAAACCTGCTTCTGTCACCACGCCTCCTCCGTATCTCACGATAGTGGGGGGGGGTCAAAAAAGTGTTTGACGGCGCGTTCTGGACCCCCCAAAAGCGGCGCAACCGCACCAAAGTCCAGACACCCCCAGAAGCATCGTTTGACGTTTCGATCTAGACCCCCCCCCACAGAGAAGCGTTGAGGCACAAATTGGTGGACGCCCCTCCCCATTATTATGATTTCCGGAGTGGCCAATTGCTTGCTGGAGCCCGTAGTTATCATCCCTGGGAGGCTCCAAGAGCGCCCAGCCTTCCCACGAGGCACCAAAGGGACTCCCAGCCCATTCGAGGAGGTTGCCAGAGGCTCCAAGATGTGTCCAAGACAGCCCCAAGAGGCCACAAGAGACAAGAGCACGCCAAGAGAATCCCCAGACAGCCAAACAATGTGAATATACATATATGTATGAGATGTGTGTATGTATCAATATATGTATATGTGCTATCGCCAGGCGTTTCAATACGTTAAGCTTCCCATGTTTCCTTCCAGGGTGACTCCCAAAGGATTTCGGAGAAGCCAAGGGTCCCCGAAATGGCCCCAAGAGGACCCCATCAAGGGCACCAGGATCGCACAGGACTGCATCAGCGAGGCCCCAAAAGTGACCAAGTGGGCGCCCTGAGGACCACAACGGGGGCCTACACGTCGAGACGTCGCGTCCGCCACTGTTTCGGAGGCGGCGTTCGAGGCTGGAGGCTTTCGGGCGTTCTCGTCGGCTCCTCCTCCTCCTCCTCCTCCTCCTCCTCCTCTTCCTCCTCTTGCTCTTGCTCTTGCTGCTCTTCCTCCTCCTCCTCTTCCTCCTCTTGCTCTTGCTCTTGCTGCTCCTGAAGGGGACATGCCCCCGCGCGCTCCCATGCGCGCGAGCCGCGCCCGGATGCCAGCGGCGCTCACGCCCTAGAGGCTCCGGGTCACGGCCCATGCTGCCACTGCCCGCCCTGCACTGCCATTGCCCAGAATTCTCGCAGGCGCCGATCCCAACGCTGTAGCTGGTTACGTTGAGCCCCACCTCCGAATTCCACCTCCCGCTGAGCAGCGCCACTGCCCACTGCCACCGCCCAGATGTCACACAGGCGCCGATTGCAACACTGTAGCTGGTCACGCCGGGCCCCCATGTGGCCCCCTACACCCCACTGAGTGACGCCGAATCCTGCTGCAGCTGTACGCCCTCCCCCTCGCACGCGCACACTCCAACACTGTAGCTGGTGACATTGGGCCCCACATCCGACTCTAACAGTGTAGCTGGTGACGTTGGACCCGACATCCGGATTGAACATCCCGCTGAGCAGCACCACTGCCCACTGCCACCGCCGAGATTTTCTCACAGGCGCCGATCCCAACACTGCAACCGGTCACGCCGGGATCCCATGTGGCCCCCCAAACCCCGCTGAGCGACGCCGATTCCTACTGCAATTATATGCCCGCATTGCACGCGCCCGTTCCAACACTGTAGCTGGCGACGTTGGGCCCACTTCCGGATTCCACATCCCGCTGAGCAGCACCACTGCCCACTGCCACCGCCCAGATTTTTCAAGGCGCCGATCCCAACACTGTAGCTGGTCACGCCGGGCCCCCATGTGGCCTCCTACACCCCGCTAAGCGACGCCGAATCCTGCTGCAAGAATTCGCCCCCACGCGCACGCGCACACTCTAACACTGTAGCTGGTGGCGTTGGGCCCCACATCCGACTCTAACAGTGTAGCTGGTGACACTGGGCTCCACATCCGAATACAACATCCCGCTGGGCAGCACCACTGCCCACTGTTACGGCCCCGATTTTCTCGCAGGCTGGCGACGTTGTACGCGTTTTATAAACACACTGTTACGCCTTCTGTTGCTGTGTCGGGCATTCGTGCTGTGCAGGCGCGCGCCGAGGAAACGTTACTTAAGACCGGCTTTTTCCTTAATGGCCGCTTCTGCAAGGCAGGTCGTTGGTGTTCAGTAGGGTTGTCGCTCCAGCTCCGCCTGCCCCCCTTTCAAGGTCCCCCCGAGCTCTCATACAAAGCTGGCTAACTTAAAGAGGCGTCAATGAAAAGGCCTATTTCCGGATTCTACATCCCGTTGGGCAGCACCACTGCCAACCCCCACCGCCCAGGTTTCTCAAAGGCGCCGATCCCAACACTGTAGCTGGTCACGCTCGGTCCTCACATGGCCTCCCATACTCCGGAAAGCGACGCCGAACCTTGCTGCAACTGCTCCCCCCGGGCCCACATATCGCACAGGCACCGATCCCAGCACTGTAGCTGGTCATGTTTGGGCCGTCGTGCTGGCACGCGCAGATTCCAGCACTGTCGCTGGCGACGTAGAGCACCACACTCGAATTTCAGATCCCGCTAAGCAGCACCACGGCCCACTGCCACTGCCCTCCCACGCCGCCCTTACCTCCTCCTCCACCTCCGCATCTACGTCGCCGTCGTCCTGGCCTACCCTGCCCTCCACGTCCACGTCCCCAACCTCGTCGTCCTTCCCACCTCAAGCTCCACTGCCAGGCCCGCCACAGCCATGAGAGACGGCTACTGTGTGCAACGGGCGGGGGGAGGAAGGGGCCGAGGGCAGGGGGGGAGGAGAGGGCAGACGTCGCCTAGGCGGTCCGGGAGGGCGCCGCCCGGGCCAAGACGATCGACTCCACGCAGACCCCGAAGTACTCAACACAAACCTTCAGGGCGTCGACCGAGGGCGCACCGGCCAGCGTCCACTGGGCAACCCGCCCCTGTGCCGTCCCAGGGAGCGCCTGCCTCCACTCCCGGGTGCCGGCACACATCGCCAGAACATGTTCCAGCGATGCTGCCGCACACCCGCAGAGTGGGCATGGTTCTACGCTCTCCTGGATGTCCTCGTGTAGCCACAGGCACAGCGGCAAGTGCCCGCTGATCCGCGCGAACATCCACGCCGCGAAGAAACGCCAGGTCCGCCTACTCCACGGCGCCCACTGCAACTGAATTGGGAACGGGGTGCGAAGCGGTGCTAGGGCCGCGTAGGGGAGCGTGGACAGCTGGGCCTCGAACCATGCCTGCTCAGATCGGCGGATGGCTGGTGCCACAACCGAAAGCTTCCACTTCGCAACCCACGCCTTGCACTGCGCCCGGTCGTCGCGGTTGATGGCCGAAGTGTCACAGAACGCAGCGAAAGGCTGGATGCGCAGGTCTGCAATGAGCGCGTCGGCGTGATCCAACCAAGTAGCACCTGTGACGGACCGGGCCGCGACGCATGCCTGCCGAGCCACCGCCCGGTCCGGTAAGAGGTCGATCCTGGCCCTCGTGGTGACGATCCGCTTGAGGACCAGGGCGTCCACCCGGTTTAATAGGCGCATCTCTGAAAATACTCTGACGTGCCCCCCCGCGCCCAACGAAACCCCTGGCCGCAAACCGAGCATAATCTTGGCGGCCGAGTACATAGCCTCGTTAAGCTTGCGCGCGACCACCGCCCACCCGCCTGCGTAGGAAGCCAGCGGCTCCGTGCCGTGGAGGACCGACGGGCAAACGCGCTTATAGAATTGCTCCACGGTTAGCGGGACGCCCAGGCCCAGGTCACGGGTGGACGTGGTGAGCTCGGCTGCGGCCGCTATGAGCTTTGCGCACGTGCGGTCCAGGAGCCCCTGGAACGAGAGCTGGTTGTCGACCGCCGTACCCAGGACATCCAACCACTGCACCTCTGGCACCGTCTCGCCCGCCACCGTTCCGAAGTCCCTTGCAGTACCCGGCGGGGCGCAGACAGCAAGGACAGACGGCCGCTTAACCCCCCCTTGGAAAACGTGCCTCCAATTTTTGCAGAAGGCGCCCATGCTTTCAGAGACCGCGCGCACCCCGGCGGCCGAAGACTGCATGGGGAAGGCGTCGTCAACGAATTGGCCGACGACGAATTGCTGAGCGGAAACCTTGTCCAGCAGCGCGAGCTGCTCGTCGGCGGTGCGGAGCGCGCCGATATGACTGTCCCAATCGGGGGTGGCAGAGAGCTCGGCGACTGTGGCCTCTAGTTGCACGCTGGTCCAATCGACGGGGCGCGTGGAGCTATCGAAACGCGAACCGACGCGCTGCCAGCTAAGGGTCGCGCCTGCGGGGGGCGCGATCCCCACGCCCACGACACGAGCCTCGAGCTCCGCCACCATGGCGCTGACGAGCGCGCCGAACAGCTGGACGCCCGCCTTGCGCCCCTGGCCAACGCCGAAGCCTCGCAACTGGACGACGCGACCGAGTAAAGGCCCCCAGCGGATCCGGACCTGCTCGTCGCCAAGGGCCGCGTCGGCGAGCAGCCACATGCGGCCGCGTACTCCTGCCTCCCATAGCTGCACGCGGACAGCATCCCTCCAGGTGAGGTCAAACCCTTTGGCCAAATCTGCCTTCATTAAGAATGTTGGCAATTTGGCAGCGGCTCGCGATTGAAGCACGACAACAATTCCCAGGGCGAGGAGGGTGGAGTCCCATTTCCCGCCAAACTGCGTACCCCCGCTGTGGGAATCCAGCA